ACTGATGTGTTTCAGTCAGTTGCCAACTTATTTTAAAAGGTTGGTCCAAATCAAAAACATTTTTGACATTTTTGAGTAGGATGGCATTAAAATAAACGAGTTAGAATGTCTTGAATAAAATAGTTTGATCATTAAATATCAACTTTGGATGAATATTAAGTTGGTTCAACTTAATTAAGTATTTCAAGGTCAAGATCATGTTGGCTGTACCAATCTAATTGAGTTTGTCAGACTATAAAAGACTCAAAGGATTTACTCAATAACGCCAGAGTTGGGGCCACTTAAAAGATAAATGCAAATTGTTACCTTAATTTTATAAACTTGAACCATCGGATAATTTTTAGAGTGTATTATTTTCTTTTAATTTCCTCAGGGCCCTGACACACCAAGCTGACAGTCGGACATCTGTTTATGTTGGGCTGTAATCATATGTCGCCCTACTTTTTGTGATGTGTCCTGCACTGTTGGCACTTAATGGCTCTTGTCCGCTTTTTTTGGCTGATTCAGCATGTTGAATGGCACTGGATGAAAAGAGAAATGGAAGTGAGGAAAGCAAACAAATGGCTCATATCAAGAGGGCGTAAGATCGAAACAAACTTGTTATATTAGTTTAAGTAAGTTTTTTTTTTTAGCCATTGAGCTCATCAGCAGAAACCGTTTAATTGTGTTATTGATATTAGTTCTTTCAACATCAGATTGCGTTGTTAATGTGCTAACTGGCTGACTGGAGTCGTCCTGTCGGCCTTCTGGTTTAACTTTTTTAATGTCAAATACAGGCTACTGCTGCCTGCTGGTATGAAGAGTTATTTCCTCTCACAAAGGCGCAGAACATACGTGGTAGCTGGCCATAGTCTTTGCGGTGTGTTTGAATGCAACTTTTTGGCTGAGACATAAGCAACGCAAGGAGACACAACAGTCAGACAGTTGCCACTAGTTCTTTGAGGTCGGTTTGGTGTGTCTGAGCCTTTAAACTGAATATTGTAGCTGAATAGATAAGCACTAATCTGATGCTCTGTCAATCATCCAATAAGAGTAAGTTGGAGTTTGTTGGAGTTGGAGTTTGGAGCAGTGGTATTTTCCTCCTTTGTCTTAAGTATTCCTGCTGCACCTCTGATTAAAATGGCACACTTCTCTAACCTCAAGCACCTTCTTAAGCTTTTCATTCTCATTAATTCCTGCAATCTTACTGGATTTCAGCTCCACTGCAGCCCATTATAAATACAAAATAGTTTTTCAGATTTGCACGAGTGTGTAGTGCATGGGCATTATTTTTTCGTGTGTGACTTGTATGTTCACCACGGCTCATTAGTGTAATACATCTGTCAGTGTTTTATTAAAATCCCTTTTCGCTGTGTCTCTACAGATGAATATGGATAATTTTACATGGCAAAGAGTAATGTGTGAACAGAAATCAACGCTGTCATTTATTGGCCTCCGTCTTGTCCCGCAACAGGAAGCTGCAGCAGCAGTGGGTGCTGCAATCATACTTTATTGTTTTATGGTTCTCAAATAAAAACATGAATCATCTGGCTTTCTAAAGTGCAATGTCTAATAATATCAGAGTGACTGTTTCTGCCTGCGTCTGCACTCTGAAGGAATCACTGTGTGTGTGTGTGTGTGTGTGTGTGTGTGTGTGTGTGTGTGTGTGCGCACGCGCGTACTTTACATGTGTTTGTGTGTATAAAAGAGAGTGAGAGAAAGACACCGAGAGATTGAGTATGTGGAAGTGAGAGAAGGCAAAGCCAGAATAAAAGAAGTACGAAAAATAAACTTGCAGTGTGTGTGTATTTCTGCCAGTGTGTGTGTGTGTGTGTTGTTGCCCATCAGTAGATGATGGTTGATTAAAGTGCTTCTGTGTAAGTGTTGAGCAGGGAGCAGGACTTCCACAGATACAGGAGGCATCACACAAACTAGATTTACACACACAGAGACTCTCCACAAATGAGGTGTCATTCCTTACAATATATCATACCTACACCTCGTTTTATTCTCCCACTCATTGTAAGTCACTCTCGGAGAGAGCATCAGCTGAATGCCTCAAACGTAAATGTATGCCATCTTTATAATACACACAAATGTAAACAATAAAAGCTCCAGAGCAGCTTACTATGTGTTTTCTTTTAGAAAACTAGACACTTTAGTGCATGAAAATCCAATTAGGGCGTCTGTTTCCTGAGATGGAGCAACCGCGCTGTCTGTCTGGCACCAACAATCATAGCACGTTAAAAAGTTGTCTGGGTGAGACGTCTCTCTCACTTAAATGTTTATGGGCCAGCAGTTTTTTTCATGGCTGCTTTGTTTGTTTGTTTTTAAAGTTTGAATGTCTGACACAAGCTTGAATGTCTGAGTGGTTGTTGGTTTGATTATAGTTGTTTGGAACAATGTTTGCTTTCAATTTTATTCTCAGTTTTCAATGAGTCAGTTGCATCTTGACATTTACTCGTGTAATTTAGGGTAGTGTTCAGAATAACTCCATAATGGAGGAAATTAGTGTAACTTCATATCATTTTGCAGTTATACAGGACAGCATTGGCCACTTACCCCAGACTACACGCTACAAACCTGATCCAACTGGCAACTGGCCAGTTGGACCTATAGACAAGCATTACTGTGGACAAATGTCAGAGGGCTGCATAGTAGGTTCCCCGAGCAGTTAAGGGTCTGGTGCCTGAATTCTATGTCCCATTGGACCAAAAACTCTTTTCTCCAGCAGCATCCAAAAAACAAATGGCCATTGCTCTGAAATCCCGTTTCTCAAAAAATAAAAATACCTGCAGTTAGACATCCAAAGCAAACCAAGCATTGTATGTTTCTGTAAACCATAGATATGTTACATTTGTCAACAATGCTGTGACGAATGTGTGGTCAGGTGTTGGCACAAAAACTACAAAAGATCATGTTTTGGCTTAAAACACCTACATTTGGTGGCATAAAACTTGCTGGAAAGGCAGGGACAGGGTGGTGAAAACTGGCAGAGATGGTGGCTCAAAGCCTGCTAGGAAATGCCATGAAGGGACGGTAAAATTCCCTAAGATGAGTGGGTCACATATTGCAAAGGGTGTGTTAACTTTTGGGAAAACACCTTTTTAACCCAATCTTTTGCCCTCAGAATGGCAAGAGAATCCTGCGTCAAGGGCAATTACTTGAGGGTTCTCAGTGCTCCTTAGTCAAGGAAGTGAACTTCAACCACCTTTTCATAAATGTTGTTCCCATACCGGGAGTCGAACCCGGGCCGCCTGGGTGAAAACCAGGAATCCTAACCGCTAGACCATATGGGACTGATGTCTTACAACAATATCAATATCTAAGATGCCATACACATGCCATGTTTATTACAGTCTTATATTTATTGTTGTCAATGTAAGGTGCAGAAGGCACACTCAAAAGCACCATTTTTTAAGGGTTAGACAGCTGCCATGAGATTAAAAAAAACTTCTACAATGCAGCAGCGCACTCTGCATGCCATGTGACAAGGAACAATCACGCAGATATTTTCCCTTTCTCTTGTAAACATCAGTCTGTGTTAACTATGGAGAAGAAGTTGAATACAGGGCCACTCAGAGCTTTAAATCTGTCCCACAAATATTATTTTAATATACACAAAAATAGTGCCTGCAAGACGATCAGCTCCAAACTCAAGATGCTATGATGTGGTGTTGGTTATGGTTGCTTAGCAATGTCAGGTGCAATCTGCCTCTGAGCCCTTGAAAGTTGGCACAAAGTAGCAGTCAGTACTTGACCTTATGTTTTCCAGGTGGTAAAAGATGCAGTATGTATATTAGCACTAATTGTCCTGAGAAAAAGTGTTGTTGCTGTCAGAAATGCACATTTTGAAAACCAGATATTTATGTAGTGTAATATGGTGGACATGTTGACACGTGCAGGAAATCACAGGTGTAATCAACTTGCTATGGCAAGTCAAAATTAATCCCTCTTAATATAATATTGGTACCTCTCCTGTTACATTTAACCACAGTATGCTTAGAAACCCACCCTAATGGTTTTGTGTTTTTGGCCCACAGAGCACATGCATTAGAGTCTCTATGGCTGAGCTGACTGACATCCTGCTGGCTCCCCACACACATGAAAATAAATGTCCTCACACAACTCTTTGAGACTTCTTAAGTTTTATTGGACCTAATGGCTCAATTTTTTATTCTGCACAGAGGTGTGATGCACTGAAAATTCATGCATCCTTTACAACTTTTCTTTTGCAATATTACACAGGGGAAAAACTCTTTTGGGTCAGAGGGTGTCACATGACCTGCATCTCAACTGTTCAGAAGTGTCAAATGGCTCAGCACTGTTTCTTGGGGCTTACTTTCGTAACACTCACACTGTCTGATTTTCTAGGCCTATAGGGCTCAACAACATCACTAAAGCTTAAGATTTCTTTTAGCTAAAAACTGGATGTACTGTGCACTGCAACAGAGGGCCTTGAAAAAAGAAGGCCAGGATGTTACACAGAACACTCCTGCACCAACTGTTAAAAATACACCAATGTACACACAGTGTGTACAAAAGCACATGCTGACACAAAGTTCTATACTTCTGAGAACCTTTATAGACAAAATTCTTCCTAACCCTAACCATCAAAACTACGGCTAACCCCAACCTTTAGCCTCACCTTAGCACTGTGGTGAAGGTGTGGTCAGGGTTGGTTTAGGTACAAAAACTACTTGGTTATGATTAGAGAAAGATCATGTTTTGGCTTGAAACACCCACGTTTGGTGACATAAAACTTGCTGGAAAAGCAGGGAGGGGGCAGTGAAAACTGCCAGAGGTGGTGGCACCACACAGGGACAGTGAACACCTCAACGATCAGTTGCTCACATGCTGCAAAGGGTGAGTTAACTTTTGGGATGACAGGTTGGTGACATAATTTTGTGCCCTAGGAACAGTATCATAACAACTCTCTTCAAGGTCACCTCCTTGAGGGTACTTGGGGTTTCTTCCTGGGGTCCGGTAAGTGAGCTACAATTACCATTTCATAAATGTTGCTCCCATACCTGGAGTTGAACCCGGGCCGCCTGGGTGAAAACCAGGAATCCTAACCGCTAGACCATATGGGATTGGTATGCAGCTAAATTAACACAACATTCACATGCCATGTTTTTTACGGCACCATGTCAGTGGCCTATAAGCACAAAAGGCACACTCAAAAGCACCTAGCTTGCCCCGAGTAGTTGGGGGTTCGGTGCCCTGCTCAGAGACACCTCAGCAGTGCTCAACATACTGGCTTTGGGCAGCAGTGGCTTAATCCATGGGGACATAGGGTCACCAGCTCGAGTCCCTGTTCGGACCAAATATGGAGCATGAACTGGTAACTGGAGATGTGTCGGTTCCCCCCCTGGGCACTGCTGGGGTGTCCTTGTCGATGGGAAATCCCCTTGCTCTGACATCTCTCCATTTAATGCATGTATAGGTCCTGTTTGTGCATGTGTGTGTATTCCGGGCATGTATATGTATATCGGGCATGTGTATGTATATGACCACAGAGTGAAAAAATTGAATTTCCCCTGGGGGGTCAATAAAGTATACCCTCAAATCATCTTCTTCTTTAACCTGGGAGTTTTTAATAGTTTAATCTCGTAATATTACAACTTTTTTCTTGTAATATTATGACTTTATTCTCAAAATCAAGTATTTTTTTCAATATGGCCCCTTGTCGTAGTGTGGACATGATCGTCATTACAAATAACCTCATCCTCCAGACCTCCCAACGTTACTAACGTTACATGGTGAGCCGATGAAAGTGTACAAGAATCTGGAGGGCTATAACTATTTTTTGTGCAGTTGGGTCGACGACTGAAATGACTGCCGCCTTGTTTTTTTTGCAGGTGAGTAAATATGCTTGAGTATAACTGTCTTTTATATATATCTTTAACTCTGCACATGGATGCACCACTGCCGGGCAAATGTTACTAGCCAACGTTAGCTAAATTTAGCCACTATTGTTAATGTTTTTATTTTTTTTTATGTTCCCATGAGTCTGGTGATAGCTAAAAACACAGAAAGGTTTGAACAGCACATTGTAGCTCAAGGCATGTTAAAGACAATGCCATAATGTTTACGTGAAAAATGAGCTAACTCTGCTCCTCCAAACTGAAGATGGAGGTTTTTCATCTACATCTCTGTGTGTTTTTTTTCTTTACGTCTCCCTTTTACGTCCTAATATTTTCGGGACTAACATTGGCCCTTGTTTTGTCCCAATTGTATCAATGGGAACAGTTGTAAAAATAAACAGTTGTGCAGTGTTGGCAGTCTTTGCCTCCAGTTACCCGCCCTTCATCTGGGCAGTGCAACAATGTATGACATCATATGCAAAGACGCTATTCAAACATGTACAAATTCTACATATTTTTCCAACTGGATGTCCCTCTTCACAGACAGGGAAGACACAACAACAGTCTGTCTGTCTCATCACCTACCTTTCTCTGCTCTCAGTCATTTCTCTTCCATCTTCCATTCATCAGCCTCTCTCCCTTTCTTCCTCTGCGTATGTCTCTCTTCCACTCTCCTCTCCCTCCTCCCACTCCACTGCTGAAACAATCATCAATTACCCCTATCCCTCTGTGTTATCCTTCTCTCAATCTCCCTCCATCTTCCCAGCCCATCCAGCAGAGTGGTTCCTCCTGGTTGGCTGCGGGCCACCCAACCCCGTCCCTGTCAGTCACCCTGCTCCCGGTAGCTGAGAGGAGACTGACAGCTCCATGAGCAAATCAATAATAATCTTCAGCCAGTGTAATCCTATACCTGAGGATATCCCTGAGCGTACCCACAGCTTCCTGGTTTTGCTCACTGTTTCACATGTTCTGATTAGCATATTCAGCGTAGCTATGCGGAAATGAGGAGGCTCAGGAAAAACAGAGGGTGAAGCTGAGTGTGACGTAGACAAACAAGCCAAATTATGGGAAAATCAGGATGTACTGTGTGTACATAGTCTCCAGCACACAAGTCTGTTTTGTGTGCTCATACATGGTAACACAAGAATACACGCTGGTACACTCACACCGTCCTGTCCTGACTGTCACTGAGGCTAAGGTCATCTGGTTTGATGTATGAGCAGACTCATATGACAACCTTCATATAACTCCAACCTCTTTCCTCCCCAAGAAAATTAACAGGTAGGGCTGAAGGACTGAAGGAGAAGATGTGATCTTGCTCTTGTCTCATAAAAAAGAAACCATAACTAGAAGGGCACCTGGACAGCGCAGACCTACGCCAAGGCCAATAGTCCAGTCTGTATGACATGCAAATCTGCAAGTACAACCTCTATATATGTCTGGACATACATTATTTCCTTAATATTCCAGGTACCGTTATTATAAACAATTCATATTTGAATATGAGTAGAAGTATAATTGGTTGGTTTCCATAGCCACACCTTAGTTTGAGAAAAAAGTGGCATCACAAACATCAGGTAAGATAACATTACAATGTGCATGGAACATAAATAATCTAGCAAGCTGGCTAACTTGTGTTGGCGTATATGGCAATGTATATATTGTGTGAGATGTTGTTCACTGAGCACGTTCACACAGAACTAAGTGGTAGTACAACAAACCTACGATAAACTGCAACTTTTTTATCTTTTAAATTGACAAACATATATGTAAGCTATGGCACAATTCAAAAGGGGTTAAAAAAATATTTCTTCCTAGCTGGTCACTTGTCTCCATATTGAACTTTACTAACATGGACTGGATTTAAAGATGTATTGCGTGTATTTCCCTGATGTTAACAAAAGTGAAAAATAATTTGTGTATCCACCCCAGTGATTCAGATCCACTCCAAGGTGTAATGGGTTCGTCTTTGGTCCATACTGCACCCTTCCACCAAGTTTCATGTAAATCAGGCTTGTAGTTTTTCCGTGATGCTGCTGACAACAGACAAACAAAAAAAAATGAAAACATAACCCCCTCTACAGAGGTAATACAGATTAAGTCTCTGTGCCTGACTTTTATTTCTGGCCCTTCTCTTCATCTGAACTTCTCCTTATTTGCTGTTGGATGCTGGTAGGAGTTAAATCAAATGCTGCCATTGTCTCTGAGTGCATCACTCTGGGATACAAATTTGAAGTGTCTGATTTAAATGGAAATTTAAATGGCTTATTGAGCAGTCACTATGAGCATGAGTTGTACTCACCACACAATAATGGACATAAGTTGTTTTTCCCCAGTTCTGCAGTCACAGATGCTACACAGAGCAGCTTTTAATCTAAAAGAGCTAATAACAGAGGCGATACAAAATGTAGGGAGATGAAATTCAGGACTTGAACCTTAGTGCAGCTGAAAGGTTTTACTGATTGGCCTGTAACATGTCTTTTCTATTCTAGGTAAATTTAAAACTACCATGGTTGAAGGTGCAGTAGTTGCAGTTTTTTAGCAGTACATGGCTCTGTGAAGTCTTTTTATCATTTTGACTAAAATGTCTCAACAGCTATCAGATGGATTAACATCACATCTTGAAGACGTATTGTCTATGCCTAGAAAATACCTGCTGTGCCTACTGAACCCCCCTGACTTTAACCCTTGTGCAACCATGAGGTTCACATTTGTGGTTTTCAGTGAAATGTCAACTGTTAAAATGGTTGATGGAAACGTTGGTACAAACATACATGTTCCCCTCAAGATGAACTGTAAAAACTTGATTGATCTCTTGACTGAACTTTGAATCGTTCAGTCACCAAAATTAATGACAACCCAGCCTTAGCCTTACGTTATATTTAGTGCTAATTAGCAAACTAGCGTAAAACCCTTTTCCCACTAAATGTAGCGTGTGTATACAGTTTTTTTAAATGCGGGAAAACCTGTTAAAAATAGGTGATAGACTCCTTTCCCATTGCCAGTAGTGTACCATCAGTGTACATGACTCGGCACTAATATTTTTCCAATGATGACTTTTCACACCCACATTAAAGGAGGCTAGCATTTTGTCTTCTTCCCCACTTTTTGCCGCTGCATTGCTTTATTTCTTTGTATGTTTTTGGCACCAACTGTTGATCAGCGAAACTGTAAAACCAAACCCAACTGCCAGAATTGTACGTTTCTGCAAAACACGTTACATGTGAACGTTATTCTGCAGTATGTAATGGATATGTTGAAACTTAAGTTAATTTATGTTTCAACAACCCTGTAGTTAACTTGGGGTTATGTTTAGGCAGAAAAACCACTTGGTCATGATCAGGAAAAGATCACTTTTGGCTTAAAATGCCCAGTTTTGGTGGTGCAATCATGGCTGGACTTTCTGTCAGACCCCAATAAAAACCAACCACTTTTGTTTTTTGTCAGTCTCAAATAGTGGTCTGCAGCTTGGCAGCTGTCTCACCAAGGCGTCAAGGCATCCACAATCGCCACACCATCCACAATCCTCCCCACCTCCTGATAACGATGTCAGCTAATATACATGTAATCAGAGTGGCATCACTTTAGAAACATTTATATACAAACTGTACTTATCTGTGATTTGCAGAGAAGGGCTGGTAAAACTGTCAGCACAAGTATCTCATCACCTGCATGCTGGGGCCTGTGCTCATAGAGAACAAGAGACAAACAACTTCTGTGTCAAGTGGATTTAAGCGATGAAAAGTCCAAAAGGGGATCATAGCTTTCACCTGGATCAGTCTTTTTGAGAGGAGCAAGGGGTCCTGCTGTTTTGTAAAGCAGAGCAGAGGAACTCCTTCACTGCTCTGCCGTCTTCACACCTCTTCTTTCTCTTAATCCACTTGCCCTCACTCAGCTTCCCCTGTGTGCAGGTCCCTCAGATACTATCTCCATCTGCTGTAATTATAGAGACCCCCACCCCCTGCTCTCACATACACACACAGAAAACACTGCCCACTGGTGTAATTCATGCTGCCTAGGGGGTCATGGGAGATTATGAGTGGGATCGATCAATGTGATGGTTCACACACACAAACGCTCACACACACATCATCGATGAGGGCCTCCTTACCTCCCCTCTCCTACTGAGGGACATCCTGCAGCTAATGAGGACACACAAACACCGTTGACTCTATCGACCACCTTAGCTTAACAAGGTACTTCATATATGGAAGACCATCAGCATG